TCAACTAGCTTCCCAGATACCACAAAGTGCTCTTGAAATGTATTATGCCACCACAGGCCTAAAGAGACATTGCCAAGCAACTAGACTAGAATCATGAGCCAAATTAAAACACTTCCTTAATTATTTTGTCAGGTATTTTTCAGACAGTAATGGACTGAAATGGGTTCTTAAAGAAAATGAACATATAACTATGTTCATAAAATTAAGGGCAAAGTTTAGGGGAAAACCTTGGAAACTGAGGGATTCTAATGATTAAGCTTCATTAGTTTCATGGTAAATTTAGCTTAGACTCCACTGAATATTCATACATTATAAGGATACACATGTCGTGAGCAAAATTTCCAGACTATTGTTTTCTCCTAAACAATAATATTCTTGAGGGCTAGAACTGTACCTTAAAGATCTCTTGCTACCTTGAAAAGCTTCTTTTGTGTAATAGCTACTCATAAATAGGTGTGTATTCATTTGCTAGTTGCTTCATCATATATATCATAAAGAAAATATCAGATACATTTTATTTGACACTTTATAATAGAAAGTTTATTTATTGACCATCGAATAGCTCCCTTTCCTTTGGAAACAGGAAATCAAATTTCCTATTTCTTATTAACCACTGTCCTTGGACAGGTAGGATTCTCTGAGTCTACCTCCAGCTCCAAACACAGAAATGCCAAGCTTATACAATGCCTATTACTCTTAAGCAACACCAGTGAGATAGAAGACATTTTCTGTGTTTTCTGAGACTAATTTGTTATATTCTATGAGAACTACATGGACCTTTTCAGAAGGAAAGAGAAAGTTGAAACCTATTGTAGGCTATTCAGCCAAAGGTAAGTGTAAAGGAAGGCAGCAAACAATGGTAAAATAAGGTTTTTAGTGGTATGATCAGAACACTAAAACTTTGCTGAAAAGACAAAACTTTATATATGTCTTATGGTTTGAACCAATTTGAGGCTGGGAATGTGGCTTATGCATGAATCCTTGGGTTCAATTTCTTGGTACCATATACATAAAAAAATGAATAAAGTTAAAAGAATATATTGTTAAAAAAAATAAAAAACCCACACTTTAAGAACTGGATTTTCTGAAACTTTAATTTGAAAGTTTTTTGATAAAACATAGAAGTTTATGAAGCCAGTATAATGTAAAATAGTGGTACAAATAAAATGAATTATTCAATATTTTTGGCTGTAAACTTTATAACATTTTAATTTTTATACTACACAGAACATGAAATTATTTGGAGCCACAATTATTTACTGAACCAAATTCTAGAATTTTGCGCTGCTAGGAATTATTACTTAGATTAAGACTCCTATTTTTTGCTTAGAAAGTACTTTTTCTGCTAGGAATATTTTAGAATGTTCCTGGTTAATAATGCTGAATTAGTCTAATTGTTCCTTGAAGTTGTGAAAAGTAACAAATTCTCCATGAAAACCTCCATTTGTAGCACTGACTAAACCTGCAAGAAATTCAGGTGCTGTCCTTCATCACAGTCATATTGTACTAGTGTAGGTTTCTTTCTAATTATTTTATTATAGTTCAAATGCCATTTTCCCATTAGGCATATAATAAGCTATATTTTCATGTATTAAAATCTTGTTTATTAATGGCTTTTACACAGGACAGACTTGGGTTTCTAGACCATTTGTAAGAATTTCCTATTAAGATATTCAATGAAGCATGGGAACAATGCAAGAGTAATTTATTAACATATCAAGAGGTTTTAATTTGCTAACATTTTCCTATCATGTTACTGTGACAGAATAGAAAGAACAAATCGCTAAAGCATGGAAAACAGTAGAATTGGAAGAAAAAGCTATCTATCTTTTTAAAGAGCTCATGAGCTCAACTGTTCACAACATGAGGAATTCATGCTTGCAAAAGTACAGTCTGATTCATGCTGCCTAATTTATTAGGCTTTGTCTGTTTATCTCTACCATTTTTTAACACTATAGACAGTTGGAACAATACATGTAAGTCACAAAAGGAAAGGCTCTTCCAAAAGAAATATAGATGAAATATATCAGCTTAAGAAACTTGAAGAAGGTTTGTGTCTTCCACTTGTATTAGAAACAGTGACTTCTTCGTTTAATTCATCTTTCCCTTTCTACATGGATAAACTAAATGTCTTTTACTACTAGCAAATATTTTACCAGATGTCTCAGCAGTCCACATTAATCATAATGTATCTGTCCACATGTCAGAGTAGTTGAGTATGTACTTCCAGTGTGGTACAGTCCCCACTACAGCCGTATTAACACACTGGCCTCATGCTTCTGTTAACTGAGTTCTCATCTTTGCTCAGGAATCAACCTCTGTCAAGAGACTGTGACTATGTTTTAGTCACATATTTAATTCATGTGATTTTTTTCTACCTAGTACAGAAATCTATCTTCTGAACCTATAGGTAGTGAGTGCATGATAAATATCTGATGACTTACTGAAAGAATAAATAAAAAATTAATGGGGGAAAGAAAGAAAATCTTGTCTCTAAGTTTCCTTATGATAGCCCAGTTGGATTTCAAAGAAAAAAGACATCCTTCCTTGTTTGAAAAAGAATCTTAAACCGCTGTAGTAATAATCAGCTTATGAGGTTTAATACAATTCATCATATTTAATATACAATGCCTGTTTGATTAATGTTAAACAGAATATGTACAAATAAAAACTATTTTAACAGTTTTCATTCTTGTATCAATAGTTTAATTTGGTTTCGTTTTACACCATTTACACCTCAACTTTAGAAAGTCATGCCCCGAATTCATATAACTGACTACAATACTGAAGATTACTAATTACAATATGGCTGTAATAGTAGAAATTTATCATTTATCATTTGAAGACATTTTTTAAGTACATGGCTTATTTCAATGATTCAGAAATATCTTAACAATACATACCACACATACAAACACTAATTAATAATTAATAATGATGCAATGCACTATTCAAAGTTCTTTATACTTACTTTCTCATTGTTCCTCACAACAATCCTATTATTATTGTCCCCATTACACAGGCCAGGAAGTAAGTAATACTACAGCTAATAAGTAGCAGAATTAGGATTTCAATCCATGCAGCCTAGCTCCAGAGTTCTAGCTCCTAACCACTATTTATTATCTCTCTGTATATCTCTCTATAAAATAAAATACCTTATTTAATTTTGTGGCAACTGATCTTATTAGTTTGATAATAGGAGGGGAGACCTCATAATTACAATGCTTCTGTTTACCTAATCCCTAATGGTTATTTGTAACATGGTAATAATTGGAGTTTTTGTTCACTGGAATCACATTAAAAAAAGTATTGTATTTGCAAACATACTAGGTTTCAGTTGCATCTGTCTGATGCTTTAAGATGCTACTAAACTCGTTTCTTGGATCCTTTTTATCATCCATAAGTGTCACAACTGTAATTATCAATGACCTAGATAAGTATAATTTGATAAGGGAAGTCACTGAGCTAGAGAGTAAATGAAATATAAGAATATGGAAAAATAGGTAAACAACCTTCAAAACTGGGCTAAGAAATATTCTATTTTTAAAAATAATAATAAATTATAACTGGTGCAATGTTTCTATGTGTCAAGTACTATTTTATCTTCTTTAAATGTACATGCCACTTGAACTTAACAACTATTTGGTCATAGGATAGCATCATTCTCTAATTACAAATGAACAAACAGTAAGCAGCTTGAGGCCACACAGCTAATAAAGTGGATACAAATCTTCAGCCTGGGTAGGTCTAGCTTTCAAAGCAAGATAAGAAGCGAAGAAGATGTGCTGTTAAGAGCCATCTGTGGCATGAAATTTAAATTGGGTACAATGATGTTTCTCTAATTTAGATGTTTTATAACAGCCCAGGCTATGAGCTAAGTAAGCATGCTCCCACAAAATCAAGTGTACACATATACTTTTTAACCTTCTCTGGATTGCTAAACTAGACAATTAAGTTTGACAGAAAAGAGATGATTTCAAAAGAGATGATTTGTGGCTAAAGCACATAAAATTTAGTATTGGGCTTAGGCCATAAAACATTATATATTAAATACTATAACATACATTCATCCAAACTCACACGTATATCTTTATAATATATATATACATACACAATAAAATTTTTGAGTTTATATCTCAGAAACATGACTCATCATATTAGCTATAAGGTATTAAGGCTATTAAGCACTTTCTTGGGGTTATTTTTTTATTTCTTCATTGCATTTCAAATAGTTTAATACCCTACTTAAATTTCCTCTTGACAAATGACATAAAGTAGCCCAAAATTTGCTTTGTAATTTTTATTCCCATTAAATCTTTTTTTTTGCCATTTTAAGGCATATATTCTTTCTGTGTTTAAACAGACCCTTTATCCTTTTCAGTAGTAAGTTCTCTTTGACACTGATTTTTGTGTGTGTGTATGTGTGTGTGCCCATTGCAAGGTCTTGAGCTTGGTACCAATGTGTTGTCCCTTAGTTTTTTTCACTCAAGGTGGGTGCTCTACCACTTGGGTCATAGCTCTACTGCTAGCTTTTAATTGGAGATAAGAGTGTCACATGACTTTCTTACCCAGGCTAGCTTCAAACCTTGATGCTCAGATCTCAGATTCTTGAGTAGCAAGAATTAAAGGCATGAGCCATCAGCAACTGGCTATATATGTATATTTTTAACATGCATAATTGTCTAGAAAATGTATCTCAACAATAATTGGCCATTATAATTTTATTACTTTCAGATTTGTTACCATGCCATTTAAATCCTGCAGTATCTGAACAATCTCTTCCTATATCTGCTCTTTCCTAAACATTCATTTAATTTTTCCCATAATAGCAATAATCTGTCCTTTTGTTGTGTTTTTTTGGGGTGGTTTTAAGTGATGACTATAAAAGCAGGAGAGACAATTCAGTTTACTTATCAACATTAATTGGAATTATGCACTAGTAGAAATCCTTTAGATTGCAACCACTATAGGATATAAACTTCTATGTATTTAAAAGTTACCTTTGAGAGATCTCTGAAGTTTCCTGGAAGTGTCAGGTCCAGTTCTTCTGATTCATAATTTGTTAAGACCCATGGAAACACAGGATATTGGTTTAGATCATTATATGTCCGCCCTTGTAAACAACAAATAAAAATTAGAATACGATAATTACTTATTAAGTCATTAATCTTCTTGTAATACATAAGGAAACTATTAAATTTCAGAAGAAAAGTAACTCTTTTACTTACTGAACTACGTCTGTGTTTAATTAAAAACATTCTGCTAATTATGCATTTAAAACTAGGTCCCTTAATAATTTAAAAATAATACCTAGAATTACTATACATAAGACTGATATATACACATACTGCTGGTTGGCCGTCATTCTCTTCCTTTTGGGCTAGCTTCTTTTACAAATAGTTCTGGTATAGATTTAGTTCCTATGTATATAGTTCCTATGGGCAGAGATGATATGCCTCAGGTAGAGATTTTCAGGGTTGTTTGAGTTTGTCTGTTTATTTTTAAGGGAATCATTTAAATATTCCAAGAAGGATACAGAGACATGCAAGTTGAGAAAGTACAATACTTGCCCTCCTAATTTACTGGAAGAACATATGATCAAATGAAATTAAGAAAATCTAAGATGGGCGCCAGGGGCTCATACCTGTAATCCTAGCTACTCAGGAAGCTGAAATCTGAGGATCATGGTTCAAAACCAGCCTAGGCAGGAAAGTCCATGAAACTCTTATCTCCGATAAACTACTCAGAAAAAGCTAGAAGAGGCACTGTGTTGTGGCTAATTTAGTAGAGCACTAGCTTTGAGCAAAAGGACAGCTCCCAGGCCCAGACCTCAAGCCACAGGACCAGAAAAAAAGAAATCCAAACTTAAAGGATCTAGACAAAACTTAATCATGTGTCATATGTAACTTCCTAAATGTTCATTCCAAATCACAGAAAACAGCCTTTTCCCTATCATTTAGTCATATGTATTTCATTCAGTAAGTCTTGATACACATATTATAGGTCCAGTAGTGCAGCATATGCAGGTATTATTATGTTCCTTATTAGGAAATGGCACTAAATGATACATACGCTAACAGCAATTGGTAAATATATATATGTATACATATATATATATATAATACAGAATTATTTTAACATCTTATTGGGTAATAATATTATCTGATATCAAATCATTCATTTTGCATCTAAACTACATGCTGTTTGAAATATGTTAGCTGAGTTGAGTGGGTTATACCTAGAGGGAACTGATGAAAAGCATTACTGCTGCTTCCTCTTGGTATTTACTGAGATGAAGTCACAGCCTCTTCAGGAGTCTAATCTGGATGTAGAGTCTGACTTGTTTTTACCTTTCAAAATCTTTTTATATTGGTGCATATGATCAATCATAAAATATTTGTTGCTGGAATAAATAGGTGTGTGTGTGTGTGTGTGTGTGTGTGTGTGTGTGTGTGTGCATCAAAGCTCGAATAAAATGAGCTAAATTTTAAAAGGTAAACAAACTAAGTCAAACAAGGAAAAACTTCTGAACATTCTTTTATGGGATGAGGACTTTTACAAAAGCATAGAAGTATAAATGAGAGAGGATTGTGTATGTGGAACTAGAATGTTTGCAGCTACTCAGACAAACCAAAATATGGACTTGTTTTAAGTTTATGAAACTCTCATTTAAATTATAATCTTATAGTAATCTTAACAAACATAAATTACATGAAAAACGAATTTTAATAAAAATTTCCACTTTTGTTTTGCAACATGGTCAGCCTATATATATTTAATAAGATTTTAATACTACAGGAAAGAAAAACATGAGTGGGGGTACTTTGTAATTTTTGTACTCTAAATTTGAGTTAATTAGCATAATCCCTTCATTTTACTGAAGATCTTGTGAAATAAAGAAAAAATTAGTTTACTGTAAGAGAACAATTCCAAACTAATCTCTATTAAGTTCTGGATATTTATTTGTCAATTCTTTCTGTTTGTAGTTGTTGTTTTTGAAGACAGTTTAAATTTAATAAATGTACTATATTGTAATTGGTAGAGTTCTTTCCTTAAAAGCAGGATATATTTTACATAGGTTATGCTAACTCTGCTTACGCACATTTATCTTAGAGGATGAATATTAAATATTGGAAGCCTGTGACACTAATCTACTCAAACAATAAGAATGAAGCAGAGTAAATGAGATCTCAGAAACACTGGATATGTTTCTTCATTTAAAAAAAAACTTTTTAATTAAACCATCCAATTTAATGTTTTTATATGGCACTTTAGTTTTGAAGGTAAAATGATCTAGAGACAGCTGACAAAGAAATTATAACTGCAATTCCTTGGTGAAAATGTTAATGACAGCAAAATATTGTTTAATTAGATGATTGCAGCATCTGGATTAACACGCTTTAAGAGCGATGTTCCTGGGCTTGTCGGCTTCTTCACACTTTACAGACATTTTGTCATCTCTAGGTCATTAGGAAAGAATTTTTAATGATTTTTCTAGAAGCAAGCAGTTCAAGTTACATCTAATTAGATGACAATAATAAGCCCAACACATGCAGAAGCTAAATATATACATAATTAACCAGGGAGGGCTTGTTCATCACAGAGTAAAAAAGTGGAAAATGCTAAACAGGAGAAAAAGGATGGGGTTGGGGAAGTTATGCTGAATTCATTAGCTAATCATATAAAAAAAAAGCAACTCAAAAACTCTCAAGTTGAACTGAATCATTTGCACAAAAGTATGTTAGCAATCATTTTTTTTTAACGTAAGGATGTCAGATTTGAACATCTTTTTCTTAGTATTTTTTAATAAGGTATAAAATGAAGCATAGGTTGTATCTTTCAGAACACAATGAACAGAAATCAAGTCTGGAAATAGAGGTTGAAATGGTATTTTTAGTTGAATCTAATCATAATTAAAATTCTTTCAGTCTTCCAAAATTTAGTGTTTCCTGAAAAAAAAACTCTCAAGTGTTTCAAAAACAGTTAAATAAATTTTGCTAAGACAGACTCACATGCAGATTTTCTTTTTAAATCAAGCCTTAAAAGACTATTTAATGAAGTGAAACTGAGTGTATAGGTTCATGCCTATAATCCCAATACTTCGGAGGTTGAGACACACACAGATATATGTATGCATACACACATACACACACAGACATGTGTATAGGTATATAGGTATGCGTGTATATATACATACATACATATCTATGTATGTATGTGTAAATACATGTATTACATGGGCATCTGAAAAGCCCATACAATGCTTCAATACCAAGACACTACTGCCAAAATGCTTTATAGAGTCTCCTTTCTTTTATTTTTTCTGCCTGTCATGATTGAACTCAGGGCCTACTCGTGCTTCTTTTGCTCAAGACTGGCACTCTACCACCTGAACCACAGCTCCACTTCCAGCTTTTTTTTTTGAGTAGTTTATTGAAGATAAGAGTCCTATGGGCTTTCCTGTCTGTGCTTGTTTCAAACCGTGATCCTCAGATCTCAGCCTCCTGAGTAGCTAGGATTACAGGTGTGGGCCTCTGGCAGCAGGCTATAGTCTCATTTTTTTTAAATGCACATAGAAAGGAGAAAAATATGACAGTCAAATAAAAGAGACATTAAGAAAGAAGTAGAGAGCAAGAAATAGGTCATAAATATACTTCATATTTGACTTTAAAATAGTATTTTTGTTGTTATTTGTGGGTCTTGAACTCTGGGTCTGAGCACTGTCCTGAGCTCTTCAGCTCAAGAAGAACACTCTACCACTTGAGCCACAGTGCCACAGTGGTTCATTAGAGATAAGAGTCTCATAGATGTTCCTGCCTGGGCTGACTTTGAACCGTGATCCTCAGATCTCAGCCTCCTGAGTAGTGAGGATTACACACATGAGCCACTGACGCCCGGCAAAATAGTATTTTTAGGAAAAAAATAACCTGAGAATGTTTGATAGTAACTAAAATATTTATAGGAACTGTAATTAATAAACTTATCTTTATATGCATTTTTTTACAGAATATAGGTATAGTGCAGCACAATGGTATAATCATTAAGTGGGAATATGTTAGGAATAAAAATTCCTGAGTCTGTACCAAGTTAAAACTTCTTGGGTGAGGCTTAACCTTCTCTGTTTCAAAAAGCCTGATTGCAATGTGGTAAAATTTGAGAACTGTTTGGCCCAGTAGATGCATACTTGAGCAAGTAATGGCAGTGTTGTTGCTGGTGGCACTAAGCTAAGTCCCTCTCTAAGATCCCTTTCATCAGCATATCTCCTTTCTAGGAGTCACTTCAATGGCTGCAGAGCAAAGGTAATAAAGGCCTGGCCCACTTGCCTCACTGCAAGACAACTCAGAATGGTTATCAAGTCAGCTTCAGGTTCCCAGCTCTGCTCAGAAATCCGTGGAATTTTTTATTTTAATGACATTGGAGCTTAAATTCTACCTCGTTCTTTCTTGCTCTCCCACCGTGGTGATCTCAAAGGTCCTCACCATAAAAATTTCTTTGCTAATTTCTGTTCAAAATCTGTTTAGATCTAAATGAGGGTCTACATCAAATTCAATAATTCTAGGCCCCTCTAGCAAAATGTCATGATAGTAAATAAACTTCAAAGGATCTTCTGATGAATGGAAAAGAAAGTAAAACTGTTTTGAATCATTTGCTGTTTAGGTTTTAGAGCATCTACTAGAAAAAGGCTTTGGCTGGAGGTGAAATGGAAAGGCTCCAAGAATATCCTGGAGCAGGGGGGGGCAGTGTACACTCAAAACTGAATCTGACTGTGTCACTTGTTAGCTCTGAATCTTGGAACAGTTATTTAATTTCCCTGTACCTCCTTTGTTCACTAGGGATAAGAGCGGAACTTAAATTTTGGGGCTGTGGAAATTAAATAAGTAAAGAAACATAAAGCCTGAAGAACAATGTTTGGCATATGTTACACATTTCAATAAACATTAACTACTAGTTATATCTTCCTGAATTTTGATATCAACAATTACAGAGGTGTTCCAAATTAAATAATGAAAAATAAACAATAAAAATACTTTTGACTCTTGATATTTTGATATCAGAAATCAGATCTTGATACCAACAATAATTAAATAAATGTTTTAAAAGAGCTATGACAAGATCCAAACCAACTATTCTCTAGCTTTGGACTACCTAGCACATTAAATATCATAGAAATAATTTTTGTCAAAACAATACTGATATCCTCTCTAGAATGATAAATTTTGTTTTAATCAATTACATTAAATATTTATTGAACAATAACTGTATCTCTGAAACTGTGTAAATGAAACAATGGGAAAGAATTTGTCAGCAAAAGTGATACTGGCACACTTGCTTTCAGAGTGTCTTTATTTTTGTATCTTCAGAGACCTCTGAGAGTTGTCTGAAGATACAAATAATACACATATTTTCTACAATTCATAGCAACAGACAATTCATATTGCTTTCCCAATGCTTAATATTGGTATTAGTGACCTTCATGTTGATGCTTAAGTATAAACTGGTAGTTTAGGATGATGTCAAGGTAAGAATTAATAGTAATATAGTCAGGAGAGCACTTCAGGATGTTCATATACATAACTTTTCCCAACTGTCATTCTACTTATAAATGCTCTTTTTGTCAGGATAATCACTAATGTCTGACCAAACTATCAAGGAGTTAGCTTAAAGCTCATCTTTTCTATGAACCTTCAGTAGTCCACCTCATACTGATCTTTCAGGTTTCTAAACTTTCATTAAATCTAGCAGCACTTAAATACATTCTTCACTATCTTTTCATGCAACTTTTTCTAGTCAGTATGTTTAGTTAGATAGAGCAATAGTGCTCAAGTTCATTGCATCAATATCACCTAGAGGCTGGCTAAGAGGCAGGCTGCTGGACTACAGCTTCAGATCCAGTGGGTGTAAGGAAGTCTTTCAGAATCTATAGCTCCAAAGGTCCCTAAGTGGTACTGATGCCAATGATGAACTCTTGGAGAAGCATTAAACTACCAAAGAGTACAGTGACTTTAACTTTTTTGGTTAATAACATCATATATATTGTCATCCATACTGCCATTATTCTTTTTTTTTTTTTTTGTCGGTTGTGGGGCTGTTCCTGTGCTCTTCAGTTCAAGGAGAGTGCTCTACTACTTGAACCACAGCACCACTTCTGGTTTTCTAGTGGTTTTTATTGGAAATAAGAGTTTCATGGACTTTCCTGCCCAGGCTGGCTTTGAACTGCGATCCTCAGATCTCAGCCTCCTGAGTAGCTAGGATTACAGGCGTGAGCCACTGGTGCCCGGCTTCTGCCATTATTCTTATCTAACTTTACCCCCTTGTTTTCTCCCCGCCACCCCTTGGAATGCCTTCTGATTGCCTTCTAAGTTCTTCTTGCTTATATTTCAGTTTCCAATTTAAAGGTCACATATGAGAGAATTTCCTGCTCTTTTAGTTCAAAGTAATGGCTTCTAGATCTGTGACTCCCAAATGGCTTAATTTGCACTCCCATTATAAATATTCTGATTTATTGGAATACTGGTATACATGTATAGTATGATCTCTTCGAAGACAAAAAGCATACTTTATTTGGTTTAATAGTTGCAATGCAAAACACAGTAAACTATTTACTGGAATGAGCAAACTGATGTCAATTTACATTTCTGTAATATTCTTCTTATAGCTCTAATTATAAGTTATTATAATTCCAATTCATGTCACACATAATTATCATTTTAATTTTCTTAAAATTGCACATTGCATTCCTTCAAAACTATACTGACTCCTAAAAGCCTGTTTATAATCTGGCTCCTAATAGCTCACATATTATCTGTTATTCTCTGCTCTAGTCAAAATATGATGCTCTTTGCTCTATCATTCATTTCTTCCCTAACACACTTTCAAAGTCCTCTCTTCTGTTTAGCATTTGCAGAATTCACTATTCATAGCACTTATTCAAGCCTTAATATCAGCTGTCTTAAACTGCCAGTATGGGGATTTGAATATAGAACTTCAAGCTCATTGCCCTTTTTGCTCATGATTAACCACCTCAAAACTGGTAATTATTCTGTGGCTCAAAGTGGTAAAGAGGTAGCCTTCAGCAAAAGGGTCTGGGACAGCACCCAAGCGCTGAGTTCAAGCCCCATGACTGACAAAAAAAAAAGAAAGAAAAAGAAAAAAAGAGAAAGAAAAAGCTCCATCTAGAGAGTAAAGAGCATCTCATCTTAGAACAGCAGGATCTTTTCATATAAATGGAATGGAAACTGAACTGAAAGAAAGGTATATTATTCTACTCTCCAGTTTTAATCCAACAGCTCTATGAAACTAGCACTGGCAAGAGAAAACAACAACAACAAAACAAACAAACAAAAAACTCAAGTAATGGCAGGTACTTCCTCCTGACAAACTTTCAACAAACAAAAATAAAGACAATACAGGGAATATGAAAAAAAAATCTGCACTCAGTATAAAAAGAATGCTATCCAGAAATGTTAGGAAAGGACCTGAAAATACATACTGCATTAACAAGAAGAAATTTTAACAAATTAAAATCCTTCTCAATATGAGAAATACTTTGATTTTAAAAATAAGTAGTTAATAATCATTCAGATTTCAGATAGCAAATTATACTTATAGAGATAAACAATTGAATATACATGAGTTAAAATATCTAATGCTGAAGTAATTAAGAGGTTGACTTATTTCAAAGATAAGGGAAATACAGTAGGAAGTTGTTCAAAATTAAATATAGTTTTAGGAATAAAAGAAAGATGCAAACATTCTAAATCACTAAAGTGGTGAGTAAAAAATTATCCATGTTACCAAATAAGGACAAAACAATATGAAAAGCAAGAAAACCCATAAAATAGTATGCAACAGAATGGTTTAGGACTAAGCACACCAGTTACTCTAGTGGATGCAAAGATAACTAATACTACTACCAAAAGACTAAAAGTTCAAGATAGAGAGTGTAATTTATGTTTCATGCCACAAGCTGGAAGATCTGAGATTTGTTCCCTATTTTCCTTGGCTCTGAGACTTAGGCTTTTTCTGCTCAGTCGTGTTGGCAACCTAAATACAGTGGGTTCTCCCTAATTGCAGTTTTTGCACCATGGATTCAACAAACAATGGATCAATTTTTTTTTTAATGAGGCACTTAACTGAATTTTTTCTTGTCATGATTGCATAAATGTTATAATCTAGCAACTATTTAACATAGCATTTGTATCATATTAGCCATTCTAAGTAGACATGATTTAAAGTATATGGGAGAATGTGAGATTATACAACACTCTGCCATGTTATATAGAAGACTTTGCATCCTCACATTTTATATTTGCAGGGGATCCTGGAACCAATCCCTTCAGATACTGAAGGCTACTGCTAAGGAAATTAAGTTCTTTACACTCCAAATATTTAAATTCATTAGATCTATACGTGAAAATAATGTTCTAGAGTTAAATAATATAAAAATCTTTGTTTTAACTTTGAGGGAATAAATAGGTTTCTTCTCTCTATATATACATATATGTGTTTATATGTATATACTACATATAAACTATGTATATGAATGCATATATATGAACATGATTAAGATTTTTAAAATATTGCAAAAACCTTTATCCTTTTATATTGACAAGTTATGTTCTCTTACCTATTTAATACACACCTATGACATATTTAGTATTTACTTACTATATCCTTTTTTTTGGGGGGGGGGTCCCGTCATGGGGCCTGCACTCTGGGCCTGAGCGCTGTACCTCAGCAATTCAGCTCAAGGCTAGCGCTCTACCACTTGAGCCACAGCACCACTTCCGGCTTTTTTCTTTTTGCTTATGTGGTGCTGAGAAATCGAACACAGGGCCTCATTTATGCAAGGCAAGTGCTCTACCACTGAGCCACCTTCCCAGCCCACTTACTATATTCTTGTTCATATTTACATATACCAGATTTTTATTTATTTATTTATTTATTTTTGGGTCTGGTCGTGGGGCCTGAACTCTGGGCCTGGGTGCTGTCCTTCAGCTCTTCAGCTCAAGGCTAGTGCTCTGCCACTTGAGCCACAGCGCCACTTCTGGCTTTTTTCTTTTTGCTTATGTGGTGTTAAGGAATCAAACCCAGGGCCTCATGCATGCAAGGCAAGTGCTCTACTACTGAGCCATCTTCCCAGCCCCTAAGATTTTTAAAGTGTTATTATGTAGTTATCTTTTAAAAGCAATTATTCATTATAGGATAGTCATAATGAAATAATAACTACACATGAACATATAAATTTATATAGTTAAATTCATAGAGTTACAATTTTTTGTCAGCCTAATCTATAGAAGTGAGTTGTTTCTGAGTCAATGTGAATAAAAAATTTTGGAATTCAACTTCAGGGGGAAAATAAGGTACTTAAAACTTATAGGCATATTTACTCACTGACAATCACTGATTTAGCAGAAAAACAAAAGCTACTATACCTCTTTGTTTAATTCACACATACAGTAAATGCTGAGCTTGATGGCAGTTACTCACCATCCAGAAATAAGATTTTTATTTTTATTGAAAAACTTTAAGGGAAAAAAAAAGGTGCTGTAACCCAATCATGTCATAATCCAGGAGACATCTGTACTAGGCAGAATCCTGTTGTTATTTTCTTGTCTTTGTCACTATTGCTGAGAATGACAAAGTAGTGAAATTACATTTCCCATTATTATTTCCAGATTCTCTCTGGCAATGGTTTGTTGACTCTAATAAACCTTCAGACAAAGCTGTCAGCAAAGGAAATGGCAGAAAGAGTGCCAAGGAAAAGTCTCTTCAACAATAAATGCATCTAAAACCTTGGTATTGGCTTGTACCGTTTCTAATAAAATGTAATGTGAGTGCTTCAATATTTATTCTAATGGTGCCTTTGAATCCCTAAGAGAAAAATGTATCATGTCAAGTCATATTACAAATGAATTTGATGAAGATAAACCTATTATGATGAACTTAAAAGAGAGATCTCTCACCTGCTATAGTATTGAGAAACATCAAGTACTCAAAGTTTGAAATTTCCCTTCTTTGCCAACGCTGGGTCATGTTGGAAGATTTATAAAGCTGTCGAGGAGTCGCCAAGGATATCCTCCTAGTAAATGAACATATCACAACAATTTTTTTACTCATAGCTTTTAAAAATTCAATACTAATATATGTTAGTTTGATAACATCCAAATGAAAATAATTTATAACTTGTCCATCAGAGATGAATCATAGACTATGTCCTCAATGCAGAAATTAGCAATATTTGAGAATTATATTTCAAAGATAATTATTAAAGATAAGCAAATTTGAAAACAACTCTATTTGTAAATTGTAGCTGCAAATGTATATAAGAAAAAAAAGTTAAAATCATGCTCAAAATGAGTACAGGTATTTTTAAGCAGAGCAAAGCTACTCAATGATAACTAGTTAGTAGGTATTTAGTTAGACACCTGACTGCCAGCATTTCACTTAAATCTTATACAATGGTGGTTAACACTGAATGTGTTACACTTGCCCCTAAAGTACATGCACCACACAATAATACATACCTCTAATGATGTAAAAAACAAACTAAGCCCCACAAAAAAAATGTATCGTTCCACAATAAATGACAAATGATCAACCAGGTATTCATATCATGTCAACTTTAGTGTCTCAGTAACATTTTTATTTTGCCAGTCCTGGGGCTTGAACTCCCTAAAATTCTTTTGTTTTTTGGGGGGGTCGGGTCGTGGAGCCTGAACTCTGGGCCTGGGCGCTGTCCCTCAGCTCTTTAGCTCAAGGCTAGCGCTCTACTACTTGAGCCACAGCGCCACTTCCGGCCTTTTTTCTTTTTGCTTATGTGGTGCTGAGGAATCAAACCCAGGGCCTCATGCATGCAAGGCAAGTGCTCTACCACTGAGCCACCTTCCCAGCCCCCCCTAAAATTCTTTTGCTCAAGGCTAGTGCTCTACCACTTGAGCCACAGTACCACTTCTGGCTTTTGCTGAGTAGTTTATTGGAGATAAGAGTCTCACAGAATTTCCTGCCTGGGCTGGCTTCAAACCACAATCCTCAGATCTCAGCCTCCTGAGTAGCTAGGATGACAGGTGTGAGCCACTGGCACCTGGCCTCAGTAACTTTTTCATGGTGCTCCTTGGCTAAGAGAAATATCTATTAGTTCTGCTTATTATGTAGTTAAATCTAAACAACTAACTAAATAATTTATATCTGCTATGGTTTGGATGTGGATTGAGTGTGTCCCTCAAAGATTCATGTGCTAAAAGCTTAATCAGTAGTGTGGTAGTGTTGAGGGTCTCACAGAAGGTTTTAGGTCAGAGAAACATAATCCTCACAGGACGCTGGTGCTGGTGTACTGTAGAGATTTGTCAGGAGCACAGGCTGTTCAAATGGGTTGTCATTATATGTTCTTGGCCCCTTCTCTATGAAGGCATTTTTATTTTCTCTTTCTCTATTACATTGTGATACAATCAAGGGGCCTCACTAGCCGCTGAACAGATGAGACTGCCTGATGGTGGACTTTTGGACTCAAAAACTATGAATTAAATAAACTTCCTTACTTTATACCCAATATCAGGTATTCTGTGTAGCATTGCAAAATGAGCTAACATAACATCTTAAGAACTTAACAGCTGTTTGGAAATAAACACTCAAAAAATAGTGCCCCTGATGGGCACTGTAGGTTCTGGCACTACACCTTCATTTTTCCTGCTCTATGCTAACTTTTCATGGAGCTCTGTTTTGAACACAGTGGCCAGTTTCACAAAGTTATCATCCAAAAGTAAGAGTACTATTTAAAGTTGAAATTTACAAATAAAGAGTATTAAGTATCCTAACACATGATGACCATTTAAGTTCATCAACTCTGTACATATAACTATGCTACTTCCCTGGTAAGTGAAGAATCTAAGAAAATGTAAATATAATTGATTGTACTGGTTGATAGAAAACCCACAAAATAGTTATGGGTATGAAGTCTAGAATATGAACAAGTATTTGTCATTATTTTTCTCTTAGTGTGTGAAGGAATTGCTTTTAGCACTAATGTGAGTCTCCTGAATAGGAATTGAAGAAGTGAGCTAGATGAGCCCGGTGCAGGTGGCTCTCGCCTGTAATCCTAGCTACTCAGGAGGCTGAGATTGACGATCAAAGTTCAAAGCCATCCTGAGCAGGAAAGCCCATGAAACTCTGATCTCCAATTAGTCAATGACAACAACAACAAAAAATAGAACTGGAGCTGTGGGTCAAATAGTAAAAAAGATCAGGGAAAGTGCCAGGCCCTGAGTTCAAGCCACAGGGCCAGTACAAAAACCAACCAACCAACCAACCAGCCAAAAACATAAGAACAAACAAAACAACCTACAAGAATAATATTAGGAAACAAAGGAAAAGTTAGGGTCAATAAAAGGGTGTTCTGAGATAGAATGGCTTCATGAAATAACAGAGAAACAAAAATTCTAACCATTTATTTGGCTTCTAGTTTCTCCATTCAGAAAAGTATTATGCCAAAGTGAAAGAAAGACCAGACATGATTAAAAGATAATTGACTCTCATAATAGGTAAGAGAGCTGCTGTTTGTTTTAAATGAACTCAGATTCAGACAAGTTTGGGAGTGCTCAAGGAAATTACACATGCCACCTAGAAAATCGCTTCAGTAATCTTTCAGGAATCATGTTCATTGAGTAAGACGCCAGGAGGCATCTTTTCTGTCTGACAAAGAAACAAGTTAGACCGATTTGTGAGTCCTTAATATTTATTCCTGGAAAAACTTTTGAATTGGTGCTTAAACCAGTGTGTGTCCACATGGGAAAGGAAATAGTGATTACTATGAATCAGCTTAAATTCAATAAGTCTTGCAAAACTAATCTCATTGTCTTTGATAGACTAAATGCATTTTTTCTTTGACCTGTATTTTATATAAGTGCTTAAGTACTTAGGACTTAATCTTGTCATTCTCTTAGCAAATAACCTGAGCATGTACATACATGTCAGTGGATTGTTCTTCCATAGTAAGCTTAAAGAGATAAGATGTAATGCAAGGGAACTCCAGTTGAATGGCACTTATAAAGCACTTCTGCAATTAGGCAGTGTGCTAGGTGCTGCAGATTAAAAGATAAGTAAAACACACTCCTTGTGTTTAAAATGTCTGTAACCCATTTAAGGAAAGACAGACAAAGATTAGTTTTCTTTTCCACTGAGCTAAGAGCCTGCAAATAATCCTCAGGGCTGTATTGGTCTCTGTGGTAGACATTGTTGCTTATCTACCTGAGGCCAATTTCCCCTTTTCCCTCACCAGCTGAATCTCTTTTGCTCAGGTCAGAGGTAGTTAATTCTCAGGAGTATGTGTTCTATAAACTCTAGGTAATCATTAAGTCATCATACTTACTACTTATTGATTCAAGTATTAGGAAGGTAAACCCGTTTCACCAAAGTAACTTGATTTTTTTTAAAAAAATTTTTATTGTGAAAATACCATACAGAGGGGCTACAATGACATGAGCAAGGTAATGAGTACATTTCTTATCAAGCATTGTTGCTTCCTCCTTTGTTTTTCCCCTACCATCCCTGCCCTCCCATCTCTACGGCTACACTCCCCCACCCCTGCCAAAGTTGTACCCCCCCACTTGCCCACCCCCCACCAAAGTTGTAGAGTTCATTTTTCAACATAGCATCTTGTACATCTCATTGTTGCAATGGGTCACCAAAGTAACTTGAGATAAAGTTTGCTGGAGACATATGAGAAATATACTCTTTCCAAAACGAAGAACTTTCAGGGATATTCCCAGTTTCTTATGTGAATGTAAACAGGAAAAGATGCTGTATCTTGAACAGTTGCAGTGATTTTTATATGAGGCCAACATGGAATTATGACATTGATGAGTCTCTGAACCACTATTGGCAAGATCTTTTTTTTTTTTTTTTTGCTTATGTGGTGCTGAGGAATCAAACCCAGGGCCTCAGGCATGCAAGGCAAGCGCTCTACCACTGAGCCACCTTCCCAGCCCCTATTGGCAAGATGTTAACTCTTGATCTGTTATAGTAAAACGTACACACACACAGACACATACACACAGAGTCTACTTTTAGCCAGGTATTCATTTTCTTTGAGCCAAAAACAGAAAATGATACTACATATATATATATATATATATATATATATATATATATAGTAATACATTTAATTACTGTGCTTTACATTTAGATTATTTTCTATCAATAAAATAAGGCTTCAAGACAATTCTTGTAGAATACTAAAACGAATGATTTAGATATTGGTTAAAATCATACTGTAATAAACTCTAAAAAGCTTTAGTGGGGGCTGGGAAGGTGGCTTAGTGGTAGAGTGCTTGCCTTGCATGCATGAGGCCCTGGGATCGATTCCTCAGCACCACATAAGCAGAAAAAAAAAGCTGGAAGTGGAGCTGTGGCTCAAGCGGTAGGGTGCTAGCCTTAAGCTGAAGAGTTGAGGGACAACGCCCAGGCCCAGAGTGCAGGCCCCACGATCAGACTCCCTCCCCCTCAAAAAAAAGCTTGTTTCTGTGTGTGTGTGTGTGTGTGTGTATGCGTGCGCGCACACAAAAGCATGTGCACTGTTCCTGCCCTTGAACTCAGGGCCTGGGTGCTGTCACTGAGCTTTTTTGCTCAAGGCTAGCAGTCTATTAGCTATACCATAGTTCAACTTAGAGCTTTTCTTCAGTAGTTAATTGGAGTCCAGGGTCTCATCAACTTTCCTGCTTGGTCTGGCTTCAGACCCCAATCCTCAAATCTCAGCCTCCTAAATAGCTAGAATTACAGGCATGAGCTGGTGCCTGGCTAAGAGGCATTTTAAAAAGCTTCTTCATTATTGTGATTAATCACAAAAACCTTGAAAGAATTCAGGTATGTTTCCTATAAGATTTCAACCAAGAAATAGCATCTTCATTATGTTAGAAGTTATAGATAACCTACCTTTCTACCTACCTATTTAGATATGTTGTAAGTAAAAATCTGTACTAGTTATTCTGTCATTATTTAAATGTATGTTTTCATAACCTCTTTGCCTATAAATAACTCACAGAAGACAACTATTGGTTCTCAAAATAATTATAATGGTAGAAGTATATTTACATTTCTGACATTTTGAGCACTGAAATATGTGAACAAATTATAGACAATGTGCAATATCATATAATTACCTGGCTTGTGGCAAACCATAGCTGGTCCCAACTCCAACCCGAGGCAAACTATAGACAACTTTTTTTACTGTTGCTTGATCAGGGAAATTAAACATAACAGAGGCTGTAGAAAGAAGAAAAGAATGTGATTTAGAAAATCACAGAAAAACTAACTAATTTAAGAAATAATTTTCAAGTGCCTATTATGATTTATTTGTAATGGTACTGAATCTTCACGGAAAATGATCCTGCTGCATAGCTGTCTTCCTCCTCCTCCTCTTCCTCCCCCTCCTCCCTCCCTCCCTCCCTCCCTCCCTCCCTCCCTCCCTTCCTTCCCCCTCTACCTCCCTCTCTCCTCACTCTCTCCCTCCCTCTCCCCCACCTCTCTCTTGTTGTTTTATGCTTTTGCCAGTTCTGGGACTTGAACTCTGGGCCTGGGTGCTGTCCCTGAGCTTCTTTTGCTCAAGGTGAGCACTCTACTACTTGAGCCACAGCACTACTTCTGGCTTTTTTGAGTAGTTTATTGTAGATAAGATTCTTGTGGAGTTTCCTGCCTGAGTTGGCTTAGAACCATAATCCTCAGATCTCAGCCTCCTGAGTAGCTAGGATTATAGGTATGAGCGATCAGCACCTGGCTCTCCTCTCTGGTAATACTGGGGTTTGAACTCAGTGCCTTCTTATGCTTGCTAGACAGGCACGATCATGCTGAGCCACATCTCCAGTCTTAACAACTCTTTTTCAAACATTCTTTTCAATTTAAAAACTACAAAAAGAATTTTTGTTTGTTTTAATGAGAGGATAGCAAAGTAAGAAATGAAATGGCCAAAGTCATGACAGTTCTGTGATATCAATTTGTAATATTAACCTTCAAGCACAGTTTTCTACTTAATTTATTAAAGAGGACTTACTTCTGTTTGCCATGAATACCTCCAGAGCAGTATTCTGCAGAAGATAACGTCTTGAAAACACAGCTCGTATCTCGCTGAACATCCATTTTCCATGAAGTCCCTCAGTGTATGCAAGAACCTAAAACAAACAGTTTAGAAGGAAATAGTTATCAGCAAAATATGTAGTTAAGATTTTGAGACTATTTTAGAATTATATTTAAGTCAGTACATTAGGATTAGAGTATCTTCCTAAATTCATGATACACAACAATATTGCCCATCATTTAATACTATGTATTTGCAAAAATGCTTGCCTTTCCATATTTTCTTAGCTCATGAGAAAGTTAAATTGTAGAAAAATTACACATTCAAGGTGAGTCTGACTTACAACAGAAAACACGTTATTGTATTAGAGCACTACAAATGATTAATTGGGCCTGGTAACCCTTGTGATATTTATTGTTGGTCCTTTCCAATATCTTGCTTCTTGGAAATCATATCATCCCCAGGCATCCCAAGCAATGGGTTATGATTGGACTAAGCCAGAGACTGGCAAACATTTTTGGTAGAAGTCCATATCATAAGTATTTTCAAGTTTGTAGGCCATGTGGTCTTTGTTGTAACTATTAACCTTGTAGTATGAAAGCAGCCACAAACAATGTATATGTAAAAGAGTATGCCTATATTCTAATAAAACTTTATTTGCACAAAAGTGACTTAATTTGGAACAAGGTCAGAATTTGGCTCACCCACATTCTAAGCTAACTGTGACAATGTTCCTCTCTCCTTTCCCAAATTCTCTTGAGGCTTTTGGAGAGGAAACTTGACCAGGCACTGGCTAATGAGAAAAAAGCTGAACACAGCTCTTGATATTTCAGAAAAGTTGATTAAGAATAACTGCATGACCCTTTTCCCTCCTGATTGATATGATGGTTCAAACTGTAGTAGTTTGTAGAGGGCTGTGTAAAGAAGATTGAGGTAACCAGAACAAGCTGAACAATCTCAGCAATGGTCTCTATCTGTACTTTCTATACTTATGGTAAGTTCAATCCATACTTGTTAAACCACAGATGTCAAGTGTGCAGCAAATACATTTTTCTTGATATATCACTTATGTATATTTAACAATAAGTGTTTTTGCTACTTGCTCTGATATATTCAACTGTACTTGTGTTTGCGTTGGGGAAAATGGAAACTAGTTAATGAGTGGCTTTCTTTGACTTTAAAGATGGCTACTGTTTTCACTATATTTGATGTCAGTATAACTTGTGGAGGAGATGGGGAAAAACCAGTTGTTTAAGGATACAGGTGGATCTGATGCAACAATGAGAAGTACAAG